GTCCAGTAAAGAACTTTGAAGACGAGGCTTATGGGGATAAGGAGTTATCCTAGGACAACTTTGGTCTGTGCCTTGGAACAAGCAGTGCAACAGCGGGGAGAAAGTCAGGTTGCTGGAGGTACTCCAGAATGGGTTGGTAACAGTGGTATATCTGGGTAGGATCTGTGCCTGGTTATCATTTGCATGAATCACTGTTCTTCTCTGATTTATGTAAGAGAGTGACCATACTTTAGAGACAGAAGTCTCTTTTTGTTCACTCTTGTTCTGGTGGCTGAGACAGATGTAACAGCCAAAACTAGAGGGATTATTAAGCAATAATATGGCTTCTTCGGAGGCATTTGGTATTTTGCCTAAACAGGTAATATTAGTCAATATAAGCTTGTAAGTTTGTAAACTGCAAATGTAACTTGTCTGTCATAAGCTTAACCAAAATGATAAATTAACAGTTCATGGAACTGACTGGGCCCCATAGGCAAAGCTGTAGCTGTGAGATTAGCTAGCCTAACGGTTTTTTGCTCAGGGTTCAGCCTTAGCGATAAAAACTGGATCTAACTGCTTGGCACACCCAACACATTCCAGGAAAGCATATCCCAAGAAAGCATATTCAAATGAAGCCTACAAGGGGTTGGAACTTAGGCGGGGCAATGTCAATTTCAAACCAAAAGGTGCTGCATCATAATTTGCTTATTGGATAAACCTGAGTCTGGGTCGTAACCTTTTGTGATAATTTTAACACCTTTCAGTCCCATAGGGTAACAGCTATAGGACAACATTATGAGTGGCCCTGAGGCCATCAGATTAACATAAGACTAGGTATGAAAAGCACATGCATCGGGTAACTAGCAGGAAGGAGGGAACAGAACGGTCATTTCTGTTTCCCGCCTGGACCCTGGACTCCTGGTATGAGTGAGGATCAGATCCTGATCAAAGGATCTTCCTCGGTAATCCCTCTGACAGCGTCGAACAGGGATGCCTGACTTCGCTGGAATCACTTGGCGCGCACCTGGCATTGAGGGACAATCGATAAGTTGCCAACCCATGTCTGTCTATCTGTTGTTTTGAACAGTCCAGTGGCTAATACCCTCACAGTGCCCAGTTGGCCTGTGACAGATTGATCTATCTGTCTATCTGTTGTTATTGTCTGTTGTTATTATTTACTATTAGCTATTTAATACTGCATTATCTGCTTATCGCATTTATCTTTCTGTTAACTGTTGTGTGTGTGTAAGCTATAATAAATTTGCCTTTATTTCACTCCCAACTTTGCCGCCTCGATCTGAAACTGAATCAAACAGCCCAGTTGGCCTGTAATAAAATTGATACACTCACAGCGCCCAGCTGGCCTGTGACAGAAGATTAGAAAGGAGCAGATCCAGTTTTATAAAAGGATCTTTGGGCATAAGCAATGATGAATATTTGATCAGAGCAGGATATTTGTCTTGGAAGTTTTTTTTTTTTTTTCCCTTTGTGAAGAATTGCATAGGTACAAGGCAAGAGAAGCAAAATCTTTTCAATTCAAAGTAAAAGGTTTCCCCAAGGGCCTTTAGAACTACAGCAGGCAGCCACCTGTCTGTTCTGTCTGTTCCTTGAGACAAGTAGTAGGGCAGTGGGGACAAACCTGGGGTGCTGGCAGCACCCCAAAGATAGATTTGTGACAACAACCTACCTAGAAAGCTAGACACATACGAAGAAGTTTGAGAAAATTGCAAACATTTGAGAGAGAATGTGCTACAGAAGGATACTGAATATTTCCTGAACCCCAAAAAGATTCAACAAACAGGTACTTGATGAGATTGGAACTGAGCCTGAATTGATGCAAAAGGTGAAAATATAAAAACTGAAAAACCATTGATGCATTCTAATAACAGAAGGAAACAGCCACGAAAAGGATGTAATAGAAAGTATTGTGATAGAGAGAGGAAGCGGGATCAAGAAAAGAAAAGATGGTATAAAGATATAAAAGACTGGACTCTATTCTGTATAAATATAGTGACTCAGCTCATAACAGATAGAGCCAACTGGAGAGCATTGTCCATTGTGTGCCTAAGCCTCTTGACTAGGATTGCACTTGATGATGATGATGATGATTAAATTGGAAAAAAAAATCAGGCTGTTCTCATAGCATATCTACCACCTGTTAGGATTTTTTTCAGTTGAGCGTAACTTCTCTTGTGAATTATTCAGTTGGCAATATCTTTTAGTTAAGGTCACCTGATCAATTACAGAATAGAAAATGGCTACAGAGATTTGGCTACAGATTAATTTGGAATAGTGTCTGAAGTGCTAAATCCAGGGAAGCAGGTTAGTGGGCCATTTGTTGTTCCCTGCCGTATCTTAAGTGGATCATATTTTTCCTATTGTCTTCTTTTGGGAAAAGCACAGGCAGCTGAAGTGATCTTTTGACTATCTGCAATAATCCATCCAATTCAGAAGTGTTATAGGCCTACAGCATAGCCAAACTAAAAATGTAACCTGAATATTTGCATTCTCAGAATTTCTCCTCAGTTTCCATGCTGGCAAAAATTCCTGAGATTAGACCAGTAATGTAGCATCACTTCAGATTGGCTTGAGTAGAAGTTGTATATGTGGACTGGCTGCAGGCTTGTAGTCATTAAAGGCTTGATCTTGTACCTGTTGGAGTCAGTGGTGAAACTTCTATTGACTACTTAAAAGCAAGATCCGGGTCTTAGGGCCCAATCCAAACATTATTGAAGTCAGTGAGATTTATTTTCATTGACTGTCGTTGGATGAAGCTTGATAAAATATTTATTTTTAATAAAACCACATTGGAATGCTATTTTAAAGAAGATGAAACTGGAACAAAATCCACAACAGGTAAAGTTAAGGAAAAACTGCCACCAATTTAGAATCATAATGTGGTTAGAATCTGAAACTCCTGCTAAATTATTCTCAATTAAATTGAGAATTCAATCCCAGGTGTACAGGTTTGTAAGACTGACTCTAAATCTCTGATTTATATCGTTGTGTAGGTTTGTTACCCATATTGGGCTGTGAGAGTGGGTATTCATAGCACAAAATGTTTGTTTCCCTCTCTTTTTTGCCCCTATCCTATTTGTGATATTTGAGGAATTGCTGTAGTTAGATCAGATCTATCCAATTTTTTTCAGATGATTAATTCAGCATCTGAACACCCATCCCAAATTTTAGGGGGTAATTTACAGATTAAATAACACAGCAGAGACAAGTGCAGATTCTGTTTAGCTGTTTCCAATTGATTGGCAAGTATTTGAGTGGTTAAATGGCTCTGCTTCTTAATCGCTCTGTACTGTGCATTAGGGAATTTCATCACTATCTCCAACAAACTACTTTGGGAAGAGGAGCTGCTTATCATGTCTTGTTATGTATAGCAACTTTCAGAATAATCAATAATGAGATGCACTGTTAAAGCCATTTAGAGAACATTAAA